AAGACGCCTCCATTGTCAATATTTATAGGAACAAGGGAGACCGGTCAGACTGTGGCAACTACAGTGGGATCTCGCTGCTCTCCGTAGCTGGCAAGATTATCGCCAGAGTCCTCCTAAATAGACTTCTTCCTAAGGCGGAAAACTTCCTCCCAGAATCTCAATGTGGTTTTAGACCATCACGTGGCACCACTGATATGATATTTGCTGCCCGCCAGACACAGAAAAAGTGCAGAAAACAGCGTTGTAACCTGTACATGGCTTTCATCGACCTAACCAAGGCCTTCGACTCGGTCAACAGGGAAGCCCTCTTGTGGCCCCTCAGCCGTTTTGGCTGCCCACCAAAATTCATCACCATTGTGAGGCAACTCCACGATGGCATGAACGGCAGTGTCCTGCACAACGGCACCCAGTCAGAGTTCTTCTCCATCCAAACAGGGGTTAAGCAAGGGTGTGTACTGGCACCAACTGTGTTTTCCATCTTCTTGGCTGCCTTCCTTACTCATGCCAGTGCCAATTTAGCCAGCGGGGTGAACATCGAGTACCGGGTGAATGGGGGTCTTTTCAACATAAGACGACTCCAGGCAAGAACAAATGTGTCGGCAGCTTCCATTGCTGAACTTAAGTATGCAGAAGACCTCACCCTTCTTGCTCACATTGAACACGACCTACAGCTACAGGAGATCCTGAACACCTACGCAGAAGCGTATGCACACTTTAGCCTTGAGGTGTATGTACGTAAGACTCAGATTCTCTTTCAAGCGGCCATTGGTTCAGACCCACTTCCACCATCCATCCAGCTTAACGGTACTACCCTCTCTAATGTTGCACACTTTTGGTATCTCGGCTCCCACCTGTCCACCACCGCAGACATTAATGAAGAGATTCAGCATCTGATCAGATGTGCATCTCATGCCTTTGGCAGACTCCGAAATCGTGTCTTCAGCTGTAGGGGTTTGAAATTATCTACACAGTCGCACATATATCGAGCAGTGGTCCTCCCCACCCTGCTATATGGCAGTGAGACATGGGTCACATACAGGAGGCACCTTAAGGCACTTGAAAACTTTCACCAACGTAGTCTACGTTCCATCCTCTGAGTTCGTTGGGAAGACAAGAGAACAAATACCAGTATTCTTGCTGACACCAACTGTAGGAGCATCGAGGCTACCATTATCCATGAACAACTACGTTGGACTGGCCATGTTACCCGCATGGACGACAGTAGACTGCCAAAGCAGCTACTTTATAGTCGCCTAACAAATAGTAAACGTAATGCCGGCGGGCAATTGAAAAGGTGTAAGGATAGTCTTAAGACAAACCTGAAAAAGTGCCAAATCGACCCCCTCACCTGGGAGACGATTTACTCCACATCGTAACGCCTGGAGAAGCACCGCACGAGGTGTCAATGCTTTCGAGTTAGCCCGATTGCAAACCGAGGCAGACAAGCGCCAACGCCGGAAAAACGCTGCCACCGCCCCTCCCGGAGTTGATGGAGCTCTCCACATGTGCAACGAATGTGAACGACGCTGCCGGTCCCGTATCGGCCTCTTTAGTCACCTCAAAACTCACCAACCTTGGGTGATATCCCTAATAACTCATATTATTATATCATAGCTGGATGATCGTCATACTCGATTCCGTGTGACAGCAAAGTAGTAGTATTAGTCTGTGTGTGTGTGTGTGACAGACATGTAGAGAGGACTGGATGTGTCTCGGATGTCAACAGGTATTCTAAACTCCTAATGAGGACGTGTATGTAAATCAAGTCATTATGTAATTTACTGTAAGAATATATTACATCATAGTGTTGTATTTAGTGTTATTATGATACAATTACTGTTATTCTTAGCACCAGCAGCCTGTAACACCTCGCTTGTTATGGCATCGGCACTGTTAGAGACGCAATTGGTCTTTGTTCACAAATAGTGTTCGTTCGTCAGTCACTTTATGGTTCACTTCTCATACACACGGCGGGATTGGTATGACTCGCCCCAACATACAATATTGCCAATGGAACGAGAAACCCTTCGCTTTTGGCCTTATTGTTTGATTTTGTGTTATCTATGTAAAGGAATTTGGTGCATTAAATCCCATCCTTGTACGATCTTTTGTGTTAGAATTGTGGTGAAAAATGTGATCATATTTTAACTTACGACATCTTGACTTAAAACTTTGATCTTGACATTCCCCCCCCACCCCGCCACCCCCCAAAAGTTCAGTGTTTATTGTACATCCAACACAGTTCATCCTTGAGTTTAGGTACAGGTATGACTAGGATATAGTTCACACACACACATATTTTTCTCTTGTATTTATACCTTCCATCTTGTCTGTCTCTCTAACTTCCTTCAGATACAATATTTGGGTGAGAGTTTCCCGGTGATAATGATTTTGACCACAATATTAAGTTAGGTTAGGTTAGGTTAGGTTAGGTGACCTCAAGATTAGTGTGGACTAAGACTGGATTGCCACTTCCTGGTTGTTCATACCTACAGTATACCCATACATCCCTCCGTACACACACACACGCACACACACACACCTGGTTCCGTAAACTGATATCCTCATAAAGGTATTTCTATGTAGGTGTGAAAGAGTTCATTTCCCCGTATGGTAGAATATTAACCATGTCGTCTAGTTCACTCCCTGTATGGGAGTAATGGTTGTTAAGTAAGGTAGTTCACTCCCTGTGTGGTAGTAATGATTGTTAAGTAAGGTAGTTCACTCCCTGTGTGGTAGTAATGGTTGTTAAGTAAGATAGTTCACTCCCTGTATGGTAGGTTAGGTTAGGCTTGGTTAGGTTAGGTTAGGTTAGGTTAGGCAGGAAGGCGTCTTTGTGAAGGTCAAGAAAGTTTAATATTTAGTTAAAGCTGAGTGCTGAGTCGTGATGGTGGTCAGAGGTTAGGTTAGGTTAGGTGAGTTGTACCAATCCTTGAGTGTGTGTGTGTGTGTGTGTGTGTGTGTGTACAAGGTATTGCTTGAAGGTTATTATGGGAGGACGAGAGAAGGTAAAAGGAGGATTCGAACCCATAAACCTCACGAATCATGACAACACTTAGGATTCGAACCCCTTAAACTCTCGAACCCTGGCAACTTAATCTAACGTAACCTCACTTAATCTAGCACAAACAACCTAACCTAACCTAACTGAAACTAAGTTAATATTTCTAGAGAACAAAGGAGACGAGTGAAGTTAGGTTAGGTTAGGTTAGGTTTTGGGTGGTTAATCTGTACAAGTAGATAGAGATTATTCAGGAGATCCATTTTCTATGATTAAGTATATGAGATAATGTTTTCTATGGGTAATATTAATGCTGTGCAAACCTTTCTATTCCCCAGCTTCATGTAAACAGAGAGAGAGAGAGAGAGAGAGAGAGAGAGAGAGAGAGAGAGAGAGAGAGTAATTTCATCATATCACGTCCACTTCTCGACACCCTCTAAGCGGGCAACACCGCCACACTGAGCGTCCTTGGCAAGGTAACTTTTCTTCCGATATTTTTTCCAAGCGATTCTTTCTCCTCAGTTAATGTCTCCTCAGTATACATGTATCTTTATAAACATACCTGCTATATATAGTAAATATTAGTCAATAAGAGAGAACCAGGAACAATAAATAAAGACGGAAGTTGGTTTTTAGACAGTGAGAGTAAAGTGTGCGAGAGTGAGGTGCGCGCGCAAGATAATATAGGTTGGTAGGTCACTACTCCATATGTGCAACAGAGAGAACATGTGGCAACGCTGAAAATAGTCGATTAAAAGTAACAATGTTTTTATGAAAGTTAATATATTGCAGCATTTAATATATTGTTCACAAAACAAAACAATTAACGGCGAGATCGGCAACAGTTTGTGAGAGATTGTGACTCTCATCTTCCCTTACCGTGCAGATAAACATACAAACAACTACTACCACTACTACTACTACTGCACCTTCTACTACTACTACTACCACTACTACTACTACTACTACAACTACTACTACTACAACTACTACTTTTTTCTTAAATCTAAAACGTGGCCTCTAACCTCCGCGTATAGCCACTCCTTCGCCATCATTTTTAACTTCTACTACTACTACTACTACTACTACTACTACTACTACTACTAGCATCAGTAATACAGGTGGGGCAGACTATACTCACCTGACAGCGTGTCATATAGTGTAATCCTGCACTCTGGTATTACTGAGCAATGACACCTGAGCCTTGTACTTGCCCCATTCATGTTAAATTTACTTCTTTTTGTAATTTTTATGAAGGAATTTTTTGATCATATCAAGTAAGATAAAATTATATAGCCGTCAATTTTGCCATATATTCGTCTTCTTATATACAGTATAGCTTGTATGTAACTTAATATAAAGTAATATATGTGAGGATATATATTCATCCGAGTCAACATATAAATTCAAGAATACTGTTTGCTGTCAATGACTTTGCTCACCAGGAAGTCGCCACCCTTAAAAATGCAGGAAAAAGGAGGGACCCGGAACACCACCTTGGCAAACCCTTGTCACTATCCCAATAATGGAAAGCAAATAAGAACCCAGCGCACTTCCCTGTTGGACGCTGGAACTCTCACCCTCCCACCTATGTCTGACGCTACGTGGGGTCAAATCTGAAACCTGAATACCAACCACTCGCCCTTGACTCCTCGGGGCTACTTTGATACTAGATCGAAAAAAATAAAACAATTTATTCTTGAACTGAATCTATTAATCATTGTTTTGATCATAAGTGGATAATAAAAATACGGTATTATTGACTTTTCACGACATGGAATGCATGGGTTTGTTGACATAAGCTGATGCCTCGCTGCCAGTTGGTGTCGGCTGAGTGCTGACACGTACAGTGCGGCATTCAAGGAGGAAGCATCGTACGGAAATGTTGGGCGAGTTTCCAGAGTGGGGTTTATTACTCTTTTTTTTTTTTACTTATGGTGACAGGTGACCAGTGTTTAAAGCCCGCGTCTAATGAGGGGAGAGAAGTGACGTAGCTCGGTCAGGGTAATGCAGGAGGTGAGAAGTTCGTGGTTCCCTTCGTCGTCTCGTTTGCTCCATCAAAGAGGATACAACCACATGCAATCTTGGACCCGATCACTACATTATTCCTGAACCTGTACACGAGACCAGCCACGGACCTGATCACAGCAGCACTTTGGACCTGAACACAGCATTTATACACAGCATCACCTCTGGACCTGAACACAGCATTTATACAGAGCATCACCTCTGGACCTGAACACAGCATCACATTTGGACCTGAACACAGCATCAGGTACTACAGGTGCTAATGACAGGTAAACTCCTTAACCTACATACTTCATTACGCTAATTATTCACAGGAATCTTAATAATTTGTTTCTGTTCAGACAGTCATTGGAGCCACAACTAATGACCCCTACATCTACTGTCTGTCTGTTTGTCGTCTGTCTGTCTGTATTTCTGTACGTATGTTTATTTGTGTATGTGTATATTTACGAGTACAAAATGACAGGATAACTAGTCACCTCACAATCAAGAAAGAAACTCACAATTTAAGGGAAACTCATATTATAAGGGAAACTAACCTTGATGCTCACAGTGGAAGAGGAAAGTTGGTCACAAGATGTTTCCTGTCTAAGCTTGTCTCTTCCTCTCCCCCCTATCTATCTGTCTCTTCCCCCCTTACTCGTTTCCTCCTGCTGGTTCTCTCCCTTCCCCCTCTCCTTCTCAGTATCTCTCAGTACGAAAGAGAGGGAGAGAAAGGAGGGAGGGGGGGGGGGACGGGAAGGAGAGTCACCACTACCATCACTATGATCCTCACAAGGTAAACAAGGTCACCACCACAACGCCTTCTGGATACACAATGGCCACTTGCCAGTCAGTCAACCTCACCCACCCCTCCCTCCCTAGCCTCCTCAACACACCTCCTACCCTCCCCGACGTACCTGAGAGACATAGCCACTAAACACATCAACAACCCGTCATAACATCAGAGATAAGGTGGGAGGGGGTTGTAAGTGACCACATTATATAGTTATGGGAGTTGTAATTCACCAGTCGCTACGTCTTACAACAGCAAGTTATAATATTTCTTCCTAAAGTGACGAGTTTTAGTACTTTCTTGATAACGGATTTTATTGGGTAGAAGTTTAGAGATGAATTTGTTGATCTTCTTTAAGGAATTACGACCTTCCTTACTGAGTTACGGTCTTCTTTACTGAGTTACGACCACCCTAACTGAGTTACGACCTTCCTTGTGAGTTACGACCTTCTCTTCTGAGTTACATCCATCCTTACTGAGTTACAAGTGAGGACAGTGTTGCCATCGCCACGAAAATCTGTAAGGTCGTGTGTAAACAATTATTAAGACACCCTGCATGTGCTCAAAGACTGAAAGACGAAATATGAAAACATTAACAAATAACATAGAGCTACAGGGAATAAATCAATAAAGATTATATAGATTTAATCCACACTGGAGGAGATGTCAGAGAGAGAGAGAGAAGAAAAGTTTAGCAAAGCCGATTACCGTCAACATAATGGCTGGGTGTGGCTATACGGTAACTGGTTCTGTACACAGATGACCTTCATTAAGGCTAAACTAACTCATAATATTTACAAATAACATAAATCATCAGGGTTTTTTTTAGTAGATATTGAATTCTTTTGAGATCAGTTTATTTAATCTTCTTAATTAATGTAAATTTCCTCAGCAAAAATCTGTCTTAAAACGAGGAAAACATTCATTAGTTCATCGTCACGTGTGCGAGGTAGAAGCGGACAGAGCGGACGTCCTTCCACTCTCGCAGCCAGAGGCAGACTGCGGCAGCGGCTATGAAAGGAACTAACCTTCAGGGGGCCACCGAGGCACCCAGCAACGTTCCGAAAAGCTTCAGATACTTTCATTAGTGGCCGGAGAGTTGTTGGTGTCTCTTTATGTTTTGGTGAATATCCCCGCGTTTTAAACATTATTTTGGGTCAGTAACAGATGGTCCTTGTACAACGACACATCAAACTTGTTGTAAAAGGTTTGTTCTAATTATTATTATAAGAAGGTACTCACTGTTACAGCACCTGCCTGATACTCTTCTAGTCCGTAAGAAATCCGATTGGCTGTTAGATTGTGACTCCACGGTCGTGATGAAATTCTGCATAGTGATAGGTCAACAAGTTGACGTCATGAACGTATGGGAGGGGCCTGAGACTCCTATTGGCTATGGGGCCGTGACGCAGCCATGACGTTGCATCAAAACAGAGGTACGTTGCGATCATGGGAGGTAAAGTAGCCGATGAATATTCACTGGTTTCTCATTGACAGCGACACAATCGGCGTTGAGGATATATCAGGAAATATCAGATAACAGGATAAGAGGCGGATGGCTCCCTGGCTCAGTGACACATTACGCGCCGCTACAAATGGTCTAACCGAGTCGACACACACACGTGGTCGTCAGTGTGTGTAGTGGCAAGCTGGTGAAGAGTTGAGGTCTCGTGTCTCTCCCACGCCTACAGTGTCTCTGTCTCTCTCTCTCTGGCCAGTCTCGCCCTCCTGGACATTATCTTTAACAACAGTGAATACAACATCTTCCACCATCGCTCAAGGCGTGATTACCCTCAAACATAAAATATAATTATTGTCATTAACTTTACGAATGTTGAGGAAGTTAATAAACGAGTTAGTGAGTGAATCAGTTAATTAACTTGAGGAGAGTAATTAAGACATCTTCGTGTAGGATAAATCTGTTCATCTTGAGAGAGTGACAGCGTGGTGTAGTGGGAGACAGTTCACACCAGTCAGGATATATACCAGCGTGTGAGGCCCTTCGCAGATAAGATGAAGTGCCTCAGTAACCTCGCCGTTTTCGCCATCTTCTGCGGCTCCCTGACACCCACGTCACTAACAGGTCAGTCTTATCATATTGTCGGGAGTCTTGGCGTCAGGAATCATAAATATCGTCAAGATCACTGGAGGAGAAAGACTCGTATTAACTCACTGTGAGAGATTTCGACACGAGTTTAACCACCCAAGAGTCTATCGTGGTTTAAGTGAGTCAGTCAACCACGTCCTCACATCTCCACCGAAGGGAAAAATCTTGAAGTTATGAATCTTTGAGGCTGTGAGACCAAACCTTAGAACATCGCAAGAGATAATCTGGCTACAGTAGTAGGGCCTCTGCTTGCTGTGCCTTATTGCATATCGACTTATGTAAACAGATTTAGGTCAAGGTAACGATCCCATGGCTGTACAATAACATCAAATACATAATATATTCTACAGAACTATATATTTGTAGTGAAGATTCTGGTGATGCTAATACACAGAGAAAGTACTGTAAACCTGTATCTCTAACCTCTACTGTAATCACACTTGTCTGAAAATACTGTACTAACATCAAATAATTACTTGGTTCTTGAATCAGAATTTGTGAATCAATTTTCCATACGTGAACTGAATGTGTGCATCTGACAGTATCGTGATTTGTTCCTGTGTTTAGTTGCCTCAATACCCGCCTGTTCTGACTTCACTGGTGGGTTGTTTTCCTTACGTGAGGGATATTTATTTTTTTTCAACGTTTGACTTAACCCCTTGAGTACTATGACTTAATCTATTGAGTACGATGACTTAACCCCTTGAATGTGATAACACCGTACTCAAGGGGTTAAGTCATCGTACTCAAAGGGTTAAGTCATCTCTCTAGTCTTCATAATTCTCTGTCTCTCTCATTGTGTCTCTTTCTCTCTCCCTCTTAGTCTTTTCTTTCCATCTCTCATTCTCTTCTCTCTCTCTCACTTCCTTTCGTTTCTATTTTTTCTCTATGCTCTCCTTCGCTATCACTCCCTCTTTTTTCTTCTTCTTTTCTATATTATCTCTCTCTCTCTCTCTCTCTCTCTCTCTCAGCAGAAAATAACTGACTTTGAGACACACAGTGAAAGTCATGCAGGGAGAGAGAGATTATCCGTGGCCACTGAGAGATTCTGGTGGCCACTGAGAAAGTTTTGTGGCCACTGAGAGATTCTGGTGGCCACTGAGAGAGTTTTGTGGCCACTGAGAGAGTTTGTTGGGTATGCAGTATCTTCGTTCAACTATGCCAGGTGAGACAGCGACACCACTCCTCCTCCTGAAGTACTGTAGAGAGGCGTGGACAAATGTTGTTTGGTATAGTTTGGTTGTTAACTTCTTCTGGAGGGAGGAAGGGTAATCCATCCTTCCCTTCCCTTTATTCTTCCCTTCATTCTTCCCTTCATTCTTTCCTTCCTTCCTTCTTCCTTTAATTTCTTCCTTTCTTTTCATCCCTCCTTCCATCCCTCCTTCCCTCACTACAGCTCTTCATGTGACCCTCAGAGTTGTTAATCATCAAATCTCTCACTCATTATCCACCCTCAAGGAACTCCTCGATAGATAAACTAGGGACTGACACTCGAAAGTTGCCAGCGATGAGGTGATACATAGACTAACAGACAGACAGATAGATGAATGTAGAGTTAACAGACCCGGAGAGAGGGGGGGGGGGGTTAACATGTATTGATAGTTTAGCTGATGGGTTGATAACTACTTGAATGGTTTGGTTTGGTTAGGTTAGGTTGAGTTTGTTTAGGTTAGGATAGGTTAGATTAGGGTGGGTTAGGTTAGGTTAAGTGCAGGTATACAAACAATGTACACTAGGCAGTACAGGTATACAGACAATGGTAAACAGTACGTCGACCTACAAAGGATATCTCAAGTCATGAATCAGAAATACAACGACCTTTAAAAAACTGTATAATCTTTCACATAAGGCGACAAAAACTTTCTCAACTGGCACAACTTATGGCAACTCATCCTGATACTTGAATATTGCGGTACCTTGGATGGCGTCATTATTGCCAAGATGCTCGTCAAATGGTTGCCAAGGTGACGTCAACATTGCCAAGTGGAGGGGAGGGCGGTAGTGTTGGTGACGGAGGAGGAGAAGGAGGAGGTGAGGAGAGAAGGGGAGGTGAGAGAAAAGGAGAAGAGGGAGGATGAGAGGGGGGCGTGGAGGAGAAGGAAGAAGAGGGGGAAAATTTAGAGGAGGAGGAGATGAAGAAGAGGAGGAAGGGGAAAGATGAGAGGAGGAGGAGGAGGCGAAGAAGAGGGTAGGAAGGGAAGGAGAAGATAAAAGGGGGTTGGATGAGGAGGAGGAGGGAAAGATGGTCAGA